ATTTTTTGGGCTTAGAGTACTAGGGATCAGTTAGGGAGTTGGTGCTTAGGATTTTCGGGGACTGCGGCAAAGGCTTGGGCCTTTGGGTTTTTGTTTTGGGGGCTTAGCCTGAATTTACCTCGCACAGCACCAGGTCTACTTCGCACATGGCAGGGTAAGTCCAGGGGCAAAACATGGCATTTTGGCTGCAGAAACCAGGAAAGGGATCAGGAAGCGACAGCGACTCGGCAAGTTGAATCTGCAAGGCTTTATGGCTTTGGGCTTTGCGGCTCTACCGGTTATAGTAGCTCAGGAATTCGTCCTTTGGGTTTTCGAGTTCCAAGAGGAAGGAAATCAACCCCGTGACCTACGAAGGCACCAGTGACAAGTAACCGTTTGGGGCACATACATAGTGAATATGGGAGTCATGAGTTCGGAAACCCCGGGAGACCCTTTACCCGAAACCCTGAGGACAAGCTCAGCCTTATACCTAGAGTAGAATAGGGCAAGTGTCGAGAGAGTTAAGGGCCGACGAGGCCTCATTAAGGAAGCATGGTAAGAACAGGCCTGGCCTCTTCGATCTCGGCCATTGTCACCTGTCCATCCTCCGCGGTTTGAAGCTGTAGGCTTCACTGCTGCTACAAATACCAAGCGAGAGGGTTACTGTATCGGCGTGTCGGGAATGGATCTCAAAGATTACTCGTTTAAGCGAGTTCGGGCATCGTACGCAGGGTCTCGCAGATCAGACTCCAAGTCTCCAAAGCGAAGCCAGGTCCCCTCTGTCCCCTGAGCACTACGAGAAAGGCCCTCACCTCATCGTGGTCTGCTGATCGAAGTGACTCCGACAGTGAAGGCGTTGCCTCACAGCGGAACCCTCAACCTCTCGCCGACTGGAGCTTGGGGTTCTTCTCGCCCCGGATACAGGGTTCACTGGTGGCGGTTTCGACGACTCACTTTTGCGGGTCTTCCACCGCCACGCTTGCAAGGTGCTGCCCAAGGATTGCGGAAAGCAACACGAGTTTCGTAGGGCTCATTGTCGTTGTCCCTAGTATCCTCGTAAGGATGCCCTCGCGACCCTGCCTAGCACGTGGATTTCTTGCGAAGACAAGCACCAAGGGTAGACAAACACGACGTGTTGTGAGCGCTCTAAGAAGCTCTTGAACCTCCAACAGCTTGTGATGCTGCCAGTTGGCACTCTGCTTCAACACTAGCGGCCGCCATTATCTTGCAGGACCTATCTTTTCAGCGAAATCTACCTGAGCCAGTCTGGGCTCAGAGTCCTTCTAATGGCAATCATGTGGGTGGCTTGAGAAGTAGGAAAGGCATAAACTCTCAAAAATCCGAGCGCCCACCTCTCGTCGGAGAGCCTTCTTCAGAAACAGGAGCCCTGGCAGCTCTTTTTGGGTGGTTCAGTGTCTTGGGCCCTGCTGCCTATACCTGCTGAGTTCTGGAGTTTATAGCATTACAGAGCTGACTGCAAACACACAGGCCCAAGGGCAGTCCCTTCCGTTTTTCCCTCCCGTATGGCTAGGGCGGCTAGGGCGGCTCCCTTCCGCATGCCAAGACTCCCTGGGGGCGCTGGGACCGAACCCAGGTAACCCTAAACCTATAGTTCCCACAGCCGGAAATCGAAGCAAAACACCGCATCCGAGAAATCTTCACAACTTCGAAAGACTGCTCTTACGTCGGCCAAACCCACTACCTGTAATTCCAATTTAGAAGCCCCGGATCTGGAACCGGCCCCCCACCCGCCCTAAGCAACTCGGGAACCTATCGGCCCCTGAAACCCCCCAAAAAAGACGCGGCCTTGCTCCATCTCCCGGGTCAGAAGCGGCTGCAAAGCACCTCCAAAGCGAAAGGTTTGCATCATCCGTTCCGTGAGTTGTATGACCATCGTGACCTTCTCAAGGGTAGGACTTGCACCACAACACAAAAACCGAAGGCATTCTTATGTCAACTCGCTGCATGCGGTGAGCATTCGCAATGTGGAATCGGGACCTATGACAGGAACCCATTAAAAAAGGGCAAGGGTAGGATCATGGCGTGAGGTCACGACTCTGGATTCCCCGAAAGCTACATGAAAGCCACCCTACGATCTTGAAGGTCATCAATGCTTGAGCGAGTGCCTGTGGGCGACTGTGTACTCTTCGCGTCCTTCAGGCAACGTGGCTTCGTTCAGGATTTGGTGGATGCCCAAGGTGGGTGTAGTACAGTTAGTAAGTTGCAATGCTAGGCAAAACCTCATATTAAAACACAAGAGACCAGTAGAGGCAGTGTTGCATTCTAATATGTATACAGTTGATGCCCCAATCGTGGTGGTAGCCATGGCGGTTGTAAGGTGAGAGCACTTACGCATCACTCCCAGCATGATGCACATTTCAACCGTCATGCATACCACATACATGAATGCGCAGCTGGCTTGTAGCTTGGAGACAAGGATTTGCTGCCTTGTCGTTGGTTTGATTCGATTTCTCCCTGCGGTGCTTCTACCTTGCTTCTTTCCTTCTCTCCGTCCCTTCATCCTTCTGGCCTCGTGCACCCTACCGAACACACGGAACTAGCCTGAGGAACCTGTCCCACTGCTTCGGACTGTGCTACTTTGCATCTTTCCCACACCCCGGGCAAGCGGAGCGCAGTATCATGTAGCATCGTCACCCGTAATTGAGGACAAACCCCTTCGACACCGTATACGTACTGTAACCCTTGAACCCTCTATATAGACTTTACTCGCCGCAAACCTGACCTCCCAACCTCTTTTCAAGACCATGCACCATCCAACTAAATAACAGAATAACACGGCTAACCGTTACTAACCGTTACCTTGACCGATTACTTGGAGGATCATGGGACTTAGTAAGTAAGCTTATAAGTACCTTAATTGGAGTTATAAGTAGTTATAAGTATAGTTACCCTGTTTATAACCCTAATTACTAAGTCCCATGATCCTTTAAGTAACCCCCCCGACACTTCGTGAACCTTCCGTCTGTGAGCCTGAAAAGTCGAAAAGAACAAGTTCTTTTAAGGCTTCTCTTCATGGATCTCCGTAGCCTTTTTGAAGGAGGTCTCTCTGAAGTGCCTCCAAAGGAAGATCCTAAAATCTAAGCCTTAAAACCCTAGACATCCCTAAACTTGCAAAGGCTTCTCTTTCATTCATGGATCTCGGTAAGACTCCAGCCTCAGCCGCCTGGTGCCGGAGGAGGAGGGCGAGCTCCTGCTGAGCGAGAAATTTGAGGGCTTAAGGCTTCAGGGTTTGAAAGTTGTTTGGCCTCCCACCTAGCAGCGACGAGCCCACGTTGCAGGCTTAAGTCAGAGAGCACAGCTGAAAGAGTTGCAGATCACCAGTCCACACAAAGATTCAGGATTTCGGCGCTCACACTCGCACAATGCAGGCGAAGCATGTGGTTCGACGTCTGTGGAGTGAGACTTGACTACTTCGGAGTGTTTAGATAACAACAAAGACAACCCGGATATTGCAGCCAGACCCTTCACTCCCCTGTCAAGATCCGCAGTTTGACCTCGCTACGTACTCGTATTTAAGGGATACGAAAGCGATTCCTGAAGGATACGTCTCTGATTGAGCCTCTCTTGGGACCAAATCGGCTACAATAGCAATCAGGTCGTGTACGAGCCCTCTCAGACAGGGCACAGCTGCATGGTGCAGCTTGTTACCGCCAATTTGGCCGCCAATCCATGAAGAGCTTCGCGCGCTTGGCCACTTCCACAAAGTCGTCGATCTTCACAAAGTTTCCGACAACGCGCCCGCTGCGTGGCTTCCACCCGAACAACACAAACTCCATCAACACGTTGAAACCCTCGGGCCCACTCCAGGAAGCAACGCAATGTCCGCCGCTGAGGGAAGCCACGAGGCTGCTGTTGGGGAAGTTGAGCTGGAAAAGTTGTGCCATGTTCATGCCAGTGCATTGGTTGTAGAGCGGGTTGACAATCAGTGCGTCCACGGTCGGATTGGAGAAGCCGACTGGCGTGGGAAGCTGCGGCCAGCAGGCTTGTGTGGCAGTCTGTGCACATATGGACATCTCCAAGCTTGAGGCGAAGGCTCTATTTGCAGCCAAAGTTGCAATTTCCTTGACCGCCTGGTTGACTTGCCATTTGCCTGTCGAGTCCAGAGCCGTTATTAACTTAAAGATCGAATGTTGGTCGAATGCCGAATGTTGAAGGCTAGGACGTGCAAAGTGGCAAGAGCTCTGCAAGATCAAAAAGACGATCCCGGGCAACATAGGAAACCCAGTTGGTCAGGTGCCGTTTTGCCGATGTGGTAGTTGCTCGCGGTCGAGTAAATCTCGCGTTTCATCCAATGACGTCGCGAACATACTGAAAGGCATGGAGAGTGTGTTGGGTCGTCAGGACGTCACCACCACATTTCCGGGCATACCAGGAGGCGCCTTCTGCCGAGCGGCGGAACAGCTCGTTGACGGCCTCGTTGATGTTCCCCTTGAAGTAGAGCCCAGGTGGGATCATTAGGTCGACATCGCTCTCATCGTAGGGTTCATACACTCGGGGCTCTCTGCACATTGACTTTGGATGAATCCTAAAACCTGGGCCGTATTGAAGGCCTCTTTTTGGGCGTACTCAAGGTCACCTGGAGCTGGTCCCATGACCCCCAGTCTCCGCAACTCGGCGGATGGCCCTGGGATGCGTATGCTGCCACAGCTGAGACCATGATGGCCCGAAAGCCCACCGAAGCCACTCGACATCGTGCGCCAGCGCTTGCGCGCCCATATACGGCAAAAGATTGTAGCTGCCACTCTCTCCATCCGGACGATCGAACCTTGCAGAGCCCGCGCTGGTATCATTGGCCTTGTCATTGAAATACTTATGCACTTGCATGTGGTTGCCGTATAATCGTTCGGTTCAACCCATGTGTATGTCCTATTCAAATCCAGACTCGGAACTCAGACAAGGCGGGTCATACTGAACTCCTTTGGAGTCAATGAAATTTGCAGGCGATGCAAGCTCGCCATTCACTCCTTGTGTTGCCCACGTGATCGATTCGCGATCGTCCATTATCGGAAGTAATTCGATGAAAGACGTCGGGGTAGCAAAACGCTCAACAAACCAGCCAAGGACAAACCCATACCGCGCTGGTCCACGAACACCAGGTCCACGTCTCGGAGCTCATTCAAGTAGTCTTGGTAACAACTCTCAACATGGAGTAGTGTGGATTCGCCCATAGCAATCCCAGCTTCTCGGCCACCCTCGTGGACGAAGAGCATGCCCTTAGGAGCTGGCTGGATCTTTGCTCGAAAGATGACCAGGAAACATGTCTTGAAGAGGGCTGTGCGGTTAGGGGCCGAGTGTATCGGAGGCGCATGCACATATCCCGCCGACATGTTCACGCGATGGGGACCTCCTGGCTGCCCAACGATTTGAAGATGAGGGGGTTGGGGCTGGCGGCATTTCCTTCGAATGCGGTCTGCCTGCAGCTCTCGCTGAGCATACCCCTGCGGGCTTTCCATGATCTCATAGAAGTCCCGCTGCCGCGCAAAAATCTCAGGGGCCTCATGGACGCAATCGCGTGCCACGGCGGCAACGAAAGCTTGTGGCATGAGGTTCTCGTTGCCATTGAGATCCCGGACATCGGGGGCTTTGTCTGCTGGTAATGTGCCTGGTGGTGACATTCTGTGCTCCAAGACCACACCTCGCTTCTGCAGCGCATGCAAAGCGCACACTTCTGCATGACACTCGTCATCCGCCTGCAACGGGCTCTTGTTCTCTGCGAGTGCCATCCCAAACATTGCAAGGAAGAAGATGACAAAGAGTCGATGCTGACGTTCTTGGCTGGATTGGCCGGGAGGGCAGACCTTTGCCACGACGCGCTGTCGCCAAGTTCAAGAGGAACAAAGGTAGATGCTACAAGCCAGAGCCCTCCTCAGCCATAATGCAGGATTTAGGATTATAGGTTTTATGGGGGCTTGACGGTCAGTTGGTGTTTCCTTCCTCACGTCCAGGTCTAGGTACCGGGCACTATCGAGTTCAAGTGCACGAATGTATGCATCGTGCATACCGGTGCCTACCCATTTAAAAAACCATCCATGCAAACTCCACGAATAATCTACGCCCGGTCTTATCGCAAGACCTAGCTCCTTCAAACACGCTAAGTTGTGGCTCTAGCAAACCAGGACATCCTCGTGAAAAACACGCAGCTGCAGGCACCTGCTCATGCTGCTTCCTGGCAGCTGCCATCTCCTGCATTTGACCACTGATACTAATACTAGTACTAATACTAATACTAATACTGTTACTGATACTAATACTAAAGTGTCCGTGGGAGCTGCTAGCCGCATAAAACGAGATGTGGTGTCTGGATCGGTGCAGTGTGCGAGAAGATAAAGGCATCAGTCGAGCCGTTAGGGTTTAGGGATTTAGGGTTGGCATTAGTGGAGCCGTTGGCTATCTTGGCTCTTTTCTGGTCAGGGTTGAGGGATGGCTCACGATACGCTTCAGAGAAATGCTTGGCGCACTTTGCCCAGCACAGTCCGACGGCTTCGTTGTGATAGGTTGTATGCTACAGCTGCTGCTATACTCCCATATCTCTCTCCAAAATACACTACTGCGACCGTAATAACCTTAGTGTACAATAAACATTCTATAACAGTTGTTCTGAGGAGGTGGCATGTCACGACTGTTTGTGACCAGGTCACCGGGCAGATTAGTCTATAGAACTGCTCCTCCTGAAAAGTTTGGCGAGGATAGTGAGACTTTCCCAGGAAGTTGGCGGAGAGGCCATGTTTATGTCACATATCTGTAGAACATGCTCAGGGGAATCCGCAGACACACTTTCAGAGAACATGCTAAGGGGAGTCGGCAGAGGGACTATCGCCGAGCGGCAACTCCCGACAGAAACAATGCTAGAATTTGCTGGAAGTGGACAACTCACAACCTCCAGAATGACACCAACAGGACTGCCTGCAAGTTTCCCTACAAGCCTTACGCCTTACAATCCTTTTTTGTTTCATACTGAACCCAACACGTGACCCTGCAAGTCTTGCAGGAGTCGGAATAACTACAAATAGTCTTCCCTTACAGCCCCTAACATAACTACATAGTAGAATATGACCCAAAACCCTGTCCTAACTATTCTAAGTCCCCTATATGTTGGCACCGGATGGGCAGGACAATTGACGCTGACCTCGATCTCGGCTTGCAAGCGTTCGGCCTCTTTACCTTGCTTTTGGAGGCATTGCTTCAAAGAGCCTACGAACTCGTAGGGCTGTGGTGCCGGGGACTTGCTAGGATCTTGAATCCCTGGTACAGGCTCGCAATGTGCAGCCTGTGTCGTGACAGAGCCTCAGGGCTAGCAGGGATCTGGGCAAGAAGAGCTTGAATTGACCCCGCAACTTCCCGACACTCCAAGTCAAGCGCGAACGAAACAATTCGAGCCACCTTAGCCATGCTCTTGCAGCCATATTGCATTTTCAACAGGTTCTAGAGTCTAGAGCGAACAAACCCTGGAGCGTGGAGGCTGTCAACTCGCGATGTCAGTTACAGCCTGCTCTCGCTGTAGGACCCGACAAGGAAAATACTTCAATGTAGTCCCAAACCTGAACCTCTGCAACTTAAGTACCGGAATCAGGTGAAGCTCCTGGGAACCACACGGTCTTGCAGCATCTGCTTGAAGGACACCGCAATGTCCCTGGTTGCCTCTTGCTCCCTGCAGGGCTCAGGTTTTGCAGTGCAGAGTGGTACTATTCAGGCTTCCATAACTTAGGGGCTGACCACCCTAAAACGGTAAACCTCTTCAATTATGGTAGGATAATACAAACCCCAAAAGGTTGCAGGTTGCCCTCAGGAGGATAATACTACCGCGCCGCCATTACCAGCTAACGCTGCCAGACACAGTGCTATTACTATTATTACCATTACTACTATTATTACTATCATTACTATTATTACTATTATTACTATTACTACTATTATTACTATTACAACTATTATTACTATTATTACCCGGAATCCTCGGCACTAGGAGCCCCAGAGGCCCCGAAGTTCGGCCTGGTCAAGGCATCCTTCTTCTCCTGAAAATGCCGCTGACAATCTGCATGCTCTTCCTGGCGACGAGGATTTCTTATGAAGGTCCTGGCAGTTTCAAGTGCAGAGTGCAAACTTTCTCAGGTATCCTTCCTACTGGTAGCGTGAGGTGTAGACACTTGAGTCTTGAGTCTCTCGGGATGCTCGCTTCGAGACTAGCATGGCGGAGATAGTGCAAAGGTGCGAGTTTTCGTCGTAATAAAACAACTCGCGAGTCGAACCATTTAGGGCTTAGAGTTGTGCATTGCTGTTCGGGGTGCATGGCTGGGGGTTGCTGAAATGACAACCTCGTTCTTGTTGCCGGCACTTTCCACACAAGCCTGGGAACCACACATGAAAGTAATGTCTCTTCTCTGTTTCCTGTTGAATTTGCCAAGGTCGTGAAGCTTCTCCGGCATGTCATGTCTTCTTGTTTTGGGAGCTTCCTTAGAGATTACGCCGGCTGCGGTCTTTTGCTCGAAGCTCATCCGGAAGACGGCAGACGTTTTTTTGCAGGCGCAGCCGGGTCTGGCAGTCGACCCGATGTTTTATCGAGGCCGCTGGCCGTGTGCAAAGTGCTCGTGGTGCTTAGCACTCACCCAGTTGTCATGTGAACATTGACAACGTGCCCGTGTTGCCAACTGCAGACTTGTGTTTTAGCCGTGTGTGGAGAAGCATATGCTTGTCCTACACTAAGCAGCTCAACGCCCTTCCCGAACGTGTAGTGCCGAAACGGGGAAGCCCTCTGAAGCAATAGATTTCGGCTTTTCAAGTCCGGAGCTCCGAGCAGCGAGACTCCGCACCCGAAATCCCCAAACCCGACAATCCTAAGGTCATTAGCATGGATAGCTCTGGACGGGACCTGACTACAACACAACAGTCCACCACAAGTGCCTACTAAATATCAGAGAGCTGCAACGCAGGGGTTCATGAGCGTTGTTTAAACTCGCAGCCTGTTGAGGCTGGATCGACTTCCAATGCAAGCATTATCCCAACCCCCCAAATGATTTACGGTTTAGGGTTTAGGGTTGTTAAGGGTTCAGCGTAAAGTCGTGGACTCTCTGGAGCCCAAACCATACACTCTCAAACACGGGCAATGCAAGTCAGAAAAGTGCAGATGATGTGGGGTTCCAAGCCGCTAGATGCCCTGCCTGTCTCTGGTAATGCAGCAACCCTCTGCAGTGTAGGCAGCCAAGAGCTTGAAAACCATGAGGCATAGAGCCGCGGGGAAAGGTTCACCTTCCCGGTTGTCCTAATGACGGTTTCGGCTGTAAGGTTGTCTTATCGTCTCCATAAGAGGGGTTGAAACTTTCCCCCTTTTTCACCTTCACGGTGGACAGCCCGAAAAAGGCTGAAAATCGGGAATCCGAGCTGCCGCACTGGGGGGAGCCGTGGCTGTCACAGCTTCAACCCTTAGCAGCCCCGCAACCAAAACATGAGTTTACGAGGCCTGTCTGTGTTCACGATCGGGTTCCCGTCGGCCTAAGTTCTCTGAGATTGACAAGTTCGCAGGGCAGCAAACTCCATTGTGGATGCGATGTCATCCGCAGCCGTGTTCCGGAACTCTTACAGCTCCGGCGTCTGCGGCAGGTCATTACCGACCTTTTGCGGCGCTCTTCGTTCCAGGATTCCCACCATGCGGCTACTCTGACATCCAGGTCTCGTTGCATAGCCTCGTCATACACAACGTAGTCTCAGTCCTTTTGCTTTGTCAGACATGCAGGGCTGCGACATGTTCTTGGGCACACTACTTACCTCTGATCAGTAATGATGCTCTGCACCGAGCTCCGTGGTGGAAGTCCTTAGACTCACGCATGTGCTTATGAAGAACCCCCTTTGAACAGACATGACATATACATACATACATAAACATATATAAATATTAAATATGTGTATATCATGTATGCATATATGTAAACTTGTGTATCTGTATGTATATGTACATACATGCAAACAGCTATCTTGTTGCGATGTATAGAGTATAGAGCATAGACACAGGTAGATAGATAGGCCTATCGACATATAATTCGATGACTAGGTACGTAGATAGTTACATCGATCTGGATGGACGGATGGAAGGACGGCTGGAAGGAGGGATAGATAGGTAGATAATTCATGGGGGGGGGGGGGGGGGGGGGGGTGGCTGTCAAAATTACAATATTTGGGTGCCCAAACCGGGGCCATAATTTTGACAACTACCCAATTAAGAATACGTCGACAAATAGATAGATCGAAGGCCAAAGTTCTTCAGTGATTCTTCAGTGTGCCCATCAATGCGCACACCTGTGTCTTAACGGGCTATCTCTCCATTTTAATGTTTCCTTCTGAAGGGAGGGGCTTGTATTATCAAGTGAAACATTAATGAAATGAAGCCCTTAAAATGCAGCAAATACGAGTCTTGCAGTGGCACGGGTTTGGGGGACTGCCAAAGCATTTTGGCCTTCCTGTTTTCTTTTGGACATCAACAATGCAAGCGAAAGCGCTGGAGTGTCACGAGATACCAATTCCAAAGCGCGCAATTGCAGTACGGTCCAAACAGTACTGCTGTTCGGCACCATTTCTGTGCCCGCGACTGGCTCTTGGCGCAGATAAGCGAAGAATGCCAAACGGCACGCGACAAGCCGAAAAGAGCAGCAACAAAAAGTCTAAAAACGCGAAAAGTCGAGAACTACAGCGAAGCTCTACAAGTCAAAAAGTACAAAGATCACAAACGATGGAACAAACGCAAAACAACCACGACTACCATCGTAGAAGGCTGAAACTCAGCAAGTTCGGTCAACCATCACTGAGACCGCGCTTCTGGTGAGTTCGGCTGACCCAAAAACCCCGCCCCGGCCAGAAACAGCTAGTTTGCGATACTTATTAGCTGCTCGGATGAAAGCCGGCATGGTTTCAAACTCAGCAAGATTTGCCCTTTGGTGGCTCTGTCTTGTGCACTTTTCGGTGCTGCCGCAACCACGAAATGCTCAAAACTCATTGGAAGTTGCCATTAAAGGCTCCTCAAACCAGAAAAATGAAAATGCCTCTGGTTTCGTTCTTTTCAAGTGTTTCGAGCATGCGCAAACTGTCAGAAATCATTGGAACTTGGCCCGCGCAAGGTTCTAAATTAGCTCCTCAGACTCGAAAACCACGTGATATGCCTGTGGTTTGGTCACTCTTTGGTGCTTGCGACACTGGATATACTGGGAACTTAACGAAAGGTGCACTTTCGGTGCAACAACTGATCATGGATGTGATCAACAGCGAAAGAAACAATGCAACCCATACATACATTTCAAACGTATACGCATGTGCGTGCAAGAAGGGTGTTTCCTCCCTCCATCTTCTACAGTGTCCCGCCGCAACCTGTCAGCCTCAAATGCATCCTTTACAGGCTAGTGACATAATGCATGCTCATGGTAGAACCTACGGCGACCTACGGGTGCATGTTTAAGCACATGATATAATGTTCTGATATCAACATGACTCAACAAAGTCCGTGTCTTGTGTCAGTATGCACCTGCAGATCGATGTCATTATGTTATTGTTATCTTTCTCTCTTGCCTCCCGGAAGCAGAGACTTGGACTACTAAGAAACCGCCTGAGTGATGCATATACTATAGGGGCCTTAATAGTTGAAACAGGGTTTTGGAGATGGTTATACTATAATGATGATAAGGAGCCCCCCAAATAGTATAGGCCCCTATATTAGAATGATACACTTGGCATCTGTGTAGAGGCATTCAAAGGCGTGCACAGCTTCTCAGTCCTTGGGCTTTTCGAGCGCCTGGACTCTGGAGGACTCAGAGTGCGGGCTCCGGGGTGGAACCTATGAAAAAACGCGCCCTGTGTGTGTGTGTGTGTGTGTTGTTCGTGTGTTGTCTGTGTTGTGAGTGTCCTGTGTGTTGCATGCGTTACGTGCTGGGATGCGCGTTGGACAAGCCTATGCATGCCCAAAGCTGTATTGTGTATGTTGGTGCGGTGTAGTAATTATAAAAGTCACGAAAGCTAGCATAGCTAGTCTTTCGTTTCTATCTACGTTAGTAGTGTTCTCTGGATCCGCCCGACCCGGGCAATCCCTTGACATCCCAGCCAAAAAGACCCCCCCACCCTTAAATAAGCCAGCATCAACGTGATGCACGAAACCTCGGCCATGCCGATGCGAAAGGCATATCGAGCGCAGGATGTGCTGTAAAAACCAATTTGGAGCCCTACGCCGCTGCAATCCTCGTGGAAGTCTTATAGACACCTCATAAATACCTTTGCAAAACCTTCATAAAAGAGCTGTAGAACCCCTTTTGGCAACTCGACTCGTATAGTAGCTTTCTAGTAATCCTTCTACAATGGTACAACCCTTACAGAGTGACCTTACTGAGCTTCATATAGTAGTTCTTGTCACCAGACCACAGGAACCCAACGCCTCTTGAGTATCTCAAGGAGGGCCGCCAGGGCCATAGCCACCGCCATAATTATAGTCGATAGTCCTCAGCAGAAACGGCTTGGCCTTCCTCAACCTGTATAATACGACAGGGGTCATTAACACCCGTAACAACAGGTTTTTCTTGCAACAAAAGCCCCAGCAAAGGGGCTGCAAATCTCACAACACGTAAGCTTGAGCCCCAGGTCTTGTTCCAGGTCTTACGCAAGGGGATTCTTTAGGGCTGGAGATCAAGGACCATCTATGTTCGAAACTAAGACAATCGACCAGGAGCAATTTACTGCGTGTCTCAGGAGCTTGGAGGTTTCCAACACCCATGCATCGGATCAAGCCAGGGGCACTTGCTAGTGAGGGCTGACCTTCGGGTCAGGGTTTCTCCTTAAAAAACAAAACTGGTGTTTGTGAATCCTTGGGCCGGGCTCAGGGTTTACACCACCCGATGGCCCGATTGCATACCAAGATGCCAGGTTCCGAAGCCAGGATCACCTTAGCCAAAGTCTACTCAGCCACTCCAACACGTCTTGCGGAAGATTACTGGAGCGATATCAGTGTCCCTGAGCAAGGGTTTAACTTGTCCCTGAGCAAGGGTTCATCTAGGGAGTGTCGGAGTTTCTGGTCCCAGGATGTCACAGGTTTGAGTGCGGGGCTCAGCATACGATCTGCCTCTACGAAAGTGTGCACAGGTGGGAGGGTGCAGCACCTAGCCAGTTGCAAACCAGGCTCTGGCTGGTCCCACTACTCTGCTTTGGAAGAAGTCTTACAGTGGTCTGTTCGGTGTGACTATACATTGCTACATACCTCTGCCGGGCTCTACGCTAAAACGCTGAAGCCGTGCTTGAATATGTCGGGTTTGGAGGCTCGCTGAGAGGTCTCCCTATACAGCCCCCACAACCGCGAATTCGTCTTCGCCCTTTCCGGCCATCGCTTTGCGCACACATGGAGACAAACTTGCAGAGTTGATCCAGATCATGGTCCTTCTTCTCGTCCCATCACAGTCAATCCCCTGGTCAGTGAAGAATCGAGTTCACGGAGCATCAACCCTCAGGGCCGCAGCCCCAACTTGGACGAGGACGACCCCACTTAGTTCAGAGTAAGCTCTAGACCCTCGACACCGGAAATCAATGTTTGCTTTGGTGCCCGTGTTCTGAAAAAGTCTCGCGTTGTGCTCTAGAGGGCTCAGCCGAGAGTCTTTCAGAGGCGTCTCGGAAGGTTGTCGATTGCTGGTCGAACTTGATGCCGGTCACCTTGGGAATGCAAACACTATGTGTGGTATGTTAGTTTTCCGAACAAACAAGTGGTGGTATACATACATATATATACACAAACACACGTACATACATGCATGCATATCATACATACATTTCTGCACAGTACATAGATGGAGGCTGGGCTCATCGTTGTCGGACGATTCGTTTAAATTGCTTCCTGCGCGCTGGGCCTGTGCCGTGGTGCCAAAACTCAGAGTGCTGGAGGCTATGTGTCCAAACTTCGTCGTGTGCGCATGAAGGGAGGCTCCACCTGATGTAAATCCATGGGAGGGACGCATGTAGAGAGGGAGAGGATGGCCCGTTTCGTTTCACGGGGTAGTCGGGGTGTCCTGGTAAGCCCTCAAAGCCTCCACCCCCAAAAAAAATCGACCTCCGGAGCCCCAGATGATCGTCGGACCTCCTTATGGGTTCACAGTGTCGGATTCTTCGAAAGCGGAGCCCCGCTACAAGATCTGAAATCCAACTACTCCAAGTCGCATTGAAGGTGATATTGTTCGAGGTCAGCCTTGCCATAAACTTGAGACGGATATAATGTTCCTTTTCATACGCAGGGCTTTTTGGGGTTGGTTCAACTCAGTCAGGTTTCGAAGTCGAGACGTTCACCGGAAGCTCCGATCCTCAGCGACCCTCAATCATAAAGACCCTTGGGGGGGAGGGTGGTTGGGGACTATACCTCCTTATGGGCATTACGGCGCCCCCTAGCCCTCTGAGGGTCCCCAAAAATGACTCAAGCCACGACTGCCATGGCCAGTCCCTGACGAATCGTCTATGGCCAGAAGTGTAGGCAGCAGCAACAGCATCCTTCCACAAACACCCTGATTGCATTAAACCATGTGAGATTAGACCTAAAACAGTCCTCAGCGTCATTTGTTTGTATCCGCTGCGCAACTGATGCAAACAATGCCACTACTTACGACCTCGTAGAGCACTTTCGAAGGCTGTGTTTTCTTGCTGCTCTTACTTTACTGCTGCTCCTGCGGTGAAGTGGCGATGACGTCGACGATAAGGAGAATGTGACCAGCTATGCTAAAATGCTGAAACCACTCACGATCAGCAGCAGCAACAACAACAACAACCATAACGAGCCGCAACCACCAAGGAGACGACGCCGACACAACAAGAGCAACGATCACGACTACGTCGACTGCTTCCTCCTACTACCAAGACAAGCAGGCATACCATGGATGAGACGACAACAAACACGCTTGCCATTTTACAGCCACCACCTACTGCTACTGCTGCTACTAAGTCTGCTGATGCTGCTGCTGCTTCTATTACTGTTACTACTGCGACTACTGCTACTGCTGCTGCTTCTACTCCTACTGCTACTGCTATCACGCATCACTGGCAGGTGGTCTTTCCGAAGTTCCTGTCGTGCACATGAGCGCAGGAACATGTCTGTTTGGCTCTTGTTGCAAGGCGATAAGTTTCTCAAAAAGATGCAGATACCCATGGTCCTGGACAATGCGACATCGGGAAACTCTGCAAATGATTATCCTGCCGGCTGCTGCGCACTCGCCCTTCGAGGAACACTCGATTTCACCTTCCTCCTGCGGGTTGAAAGCAGCTGAAACCGCGCGGATGTGATGCTTCGATTGCTTCGACAGGAGCGAAGCACAGAACTTAGGCCCAAATCCAAACGACATACACACCGCAGAACCTGATGCTTTCAGGGCAAGAAGCTGTTGGTTCAGGAAGCGGCGAAGTGCCGAAGCACCTCGGGTGACGCCCTCTGTTTGGGGAGAAGTTCTGCAGCTGGGGCGACTCGCAGTGCTTCACTTTACACGTGGATCTAGGGTTTGCTGCCTTTCAGTATTCTTCTGTCGAAGATTGAAATTCGGATCAGGCTGTCTGTCTAATTTGAATGCAAGTTTCTGAAAGTGCGGACGGAGGCTAAGTCACTAATGCTGTAACGGCGGGATTATAGATCTAGCCATGCAGCAAGATGCAACTCTTGCAAGTACGCTGAAAACGTGCATCAAAAAAACAAGGTGAACACATGACGGCTCAGAATGCCGGAACCGCTGGCCCCACAACAGAGTTGTAGACTGATGCCGGGCAGCTTTGGTATAGCCTCTCTGTCAAGAGGGTCATTGGCACCGGATGGATTCCTAAGTATGAGCATACAAATGATCGGCAAAGAGCTGGTTGCCAGCAGATGTGCCCATCGTCATCATCACCACATTAGAATACTGACCAAAGATGCACGCACTCCAAAATGGCAGCCGTAACCTAGCACAATGAGGAGCGTTTAAGAGGTACTGTATCTTTGCCTTCGACCATGAGACCCCAGACCACTTAACCCAAAAAGCACCGATGGACACCGGAGCCGAAACTCGATCAACCTAAAACTGTACCAACCCCTGAGCACATAAGCCCTGCATGAACCACTGAACCTTATAGGAGTTCGAAGTATTGCGCGTAAATACGGAGGACCCGACGGCTTAAAAGCGTACAGTTGTGTTGGTGCTATTCGGCTTATGGTGGAGGCTTTGCAGCCACCTGTGAGCTGGCGGAGGTTGATGTAGACTTGCGTCAATATTACAATCGTAGGCCACGCAAGTTTGGACATGCATGACCTTGCTTCGAGGTCTCACAAGTCAGATGACTGGCTGCACGACGGTAAACCCGTAGCTTGCAGGTTTCAATTTGCTTCGTTTCTGCCCGTCAGGACGGTGAAGCACTGCGTTGCAGCAGTGCCTCATCGAAAAACGCAAGGGCCTGTCATCTGCATTCTGGTGACTGTATATAAACCCCATATCCTGCAAATTGTCATTCTTGGTAAGCCGGCGTCGTTGGTGCTGTGGCGAGAGTACGTCTGGGTGGCGTTTGTTCGAAAGGCTCGGACGATGAGTAGTTAAAACTTAAAACGCCTGGGTGGCTGTCCAGATTAGGTGGCTTTTTGGGTCCCTATTATAATACGGCACCAAAAATCTAGGGTACCCAAAATGGGGCCCTAATTTTGACAACTACCCACTTGGAGGCCTTGCTTGCCTTCGTGGAGACCGGGCTTGGCATGATGATGATAATCATAATGGTAAGAAACATCGTGATAGAAGTAAGCATGGCAATGCTGATGATTATTATTCAATCTCATCAACGAACAGTCGTAACAAAAATGATCATATTGGCATCGGCTTCGCAACTTCAGGTTTCCGTCTCACACGGTTAAGGTGAGAGCCCTTTAACAAAGGCTTGACTGCCGAGTGTAGTTCAAACCTCGAAACCGATGCTGAGAAAGCAGGCGGTTGCAGAATCCAACTTCCGCTCCATTGTGCTCCATGCCAGCTTCACAGTTGGACTTGAGTTTAGGGTGCGAGGTCGGGTGACGGCAACAACTGCTGCCGTGATGCTGTATCGCGCTTCAAAGGTATCTTCCTGATGGCCACTGCAATCGAGCAGCTCCAAACCAAGACCCGACACTTTGAAACGGACTCTGCATGCACATCTCACAGAGAGAGGGAGAGGGAGCGAGAGAGAGAGAGACAGAAGCCTGGTAGTGTATAATTAAGACGGCAGTTCGACGTCGAAAAATGTGGATGCGATGCCGATGCGAAAACTGAAAATACTAAGCAGGATTTGTGAGGGCTTCAGTACTCCAACGAACTGATAGACCTTTGTTGAACCCAACCTCCGATCCTGTTCATCTGGGAACTGACAGCCCTAGAGCTTAAACCCAGGCTTAGAGGCTCAAATAATTCGACCAGGGATTTTGGGTGGATTTGCACTGGAGAAGTATTCGCAAACAAGAACGTGTATGAGTTTTCAAGCTTCTCTAAATTACAGATGTGAGCTCGCGAAGGGCATGCCTGTATTTGTCAGGTAGGAAGAACTTGCACAATTTTCTCTGTGAGCTTACAAGCTTGTCATTATGTCGGTGCAGACCGCTTCTGCATGGCCGGAACACAAAGACGGACCTAGAAAACAAGCAGATCTTCCTAATATAGGTGCCTTAATAAATACCCATACTATTTTGGGGTGTTCCTTGTAATATTTACAGTGCAGTCGGCGCCCAAACCATATTCTAATTAAGGCCCCTTTAGCAGACAGGGAAGGAAGGAAAGGAGGTTGTAAGCCCTGCAGAGCCTGCGGCAAATTCCCGGAGAACGTGCGGATGAAATCGACGATCGTGACACTGTCTGCAGTCAGGGAATGCATAGCGACCATGACGGTCTTCAGAGACTCCTCGCGCTGGGTTTGTTTTTGGCTTCACAAGTTTGCTCCATGGGTCTGATTGGCGGTTTGGGACCTTGTGTGATTTGATGTAGGGGCCTGGCTGAAGCCTTCGACATCTAACATCTCCACCCAATCAGACCTATTCACCCTGGTGCACCATCATCCCGGCACCTTATTGAGAGTCGAGGTTTTACATATACCTTCCCGAATTGATTGAATTCTAAACAACGATGAGTTCTGGGACATAAGCCCAAGTTGAACGATCATGACGATCATTACACATGAAGACACGATCGTTCATCATGGCAAATCAGCGGTTTTGGGCAAGATCGGCAGTCATCGACAACTTTTGCATGATGCATCAAAGTCCCAAGTTGTCAGAATGAGCTCCTCGACGGTATTTGAGAACGCCATGACCTGGCTCGAAAGGGCAGTTGCGTGCAAAGGGAGGAAGGGGAGGAGGCTCTGAATCTGTATGAACGACAGCCTTCCGACCGATGCAAAAGCCCAATCACTTAAACCCCGAACCCTCCCTGTGCTGCACCGCAGCATTCAGTCAAAAGACCTGACAAGCCCGAAATACGAAGCCCCTCCGTTTCAAAGCTGCATTGCAAGCATCCTCAAGCATCGCCTATCTTATGACTTCTTCCATGTTGCCATCATATGTCGGTATGCTCAAAATGTTGTGTTCGGCAGTGTAGCACACAGTTACATGCTGTACCAAGCACTGTCCAACTATGTGGGGGATATACTGTATACACTGCACAGGCACATGAACAGATATGTCCGCGATGGTGGACTATTGCACCCTGCCATCTGAAACACCGTAGCTCAAGACCGAGGAGCAAGTGGCGGATAGGTCATGTTGAATTGGACCCATCCTTCCATCCTGGGCCCAGAACAGGCGAGCTTCGTCAAGTGTGCATGCGGATCAGGTGCCTGGAGCAACGACAGACCAGAGCATTTTGACGAGAATCTTCCGGGGCGCCCTACAACCAAGTCAACAATTGGAAGAACCTGCCTCAAAGTATGAAACCCGAAAGACTCGCAGCACGAACAGGAAGCTAAGCCAATACTAGAGCGGAGGTAGGTATAGCAGGAGTAGCAGCAGCAGCAATAGCAGCAATAGTAGCCGCCGCAGTAGAAGTCATCGCAGTAAAAGAAGTAGTAGCAGTAGTAGTGGTAGTGGTAGTGGTAGTGGTAGTGGTAGTGGTAGTAGTAGTAGTAGTAGTAGTAGTAGTAGTAGTAGTAGTAGTAGTAGTAGCACCAGCAGCAGCAGGCAGTGGCCCTGTATTCGAAGTCCATTCAGGGCCAAGCTTCTCTAAGCAGTCTGCATCTTCTCCGCACTCATCAACAACCCTCCGCGGCTTCAGAAGTGAAGGGCTGAAGGCTTAGCGGCTTAGCGCTTAGCTTGCAATGAGATCACAATTTTTAAAACAACACAGCAACGGCACAAGCACGCCGGCACAAAAAACAGATCTCGATGCAGGTAGCAGGTGCTGGGAATGCACATGCAGGAACACCTATCTTCTCGGAGACTGTACACCTGCAAGCAATGGGGGACAGAAGGCAGCGTTCCACGATAAGATGCTAAAACACACCGTACTATACAATGATGAAGTATGATATATACGATAAAGTAGGACAATATGGCTATGATGCCTGCCGGATTCAGGGCTCCGGATACAGGTTCCTAGGCTTTGAGGGATTGCAGATGATGTGTCAGTGGAAGCAGCCCGGGGCGTGCAGTCGGTGGAGTGGAGCCTGGAACTTCCCGGACTGTCCCCAAGACACTCAGAATTGTGGTTTCGGCGCTCGCACTCGGACCATCCAGGCGAGGCATGTGGTCCGCGGTCTGTGGAGTAAGAATTAGGGTTTTGGGATTAGGGTTTAACACTGAGTCTCCGAAGCCCATTGCCCAAACACCCAAATTCCTTTGGATAGGGCTTCAATGCTAAAACAGGTCGCAGCAGCATTCCGGACTGCAGTGCTGCAAAACCATTCGGGCTCGGCTTTAGTTGACAAAGGACCTGCGAAAGCTACCTGGTGAACATCTGCCTAACCCTGAGCTGTGACAACCACTTCAAGCTGCATCCCTCAGCTTACCCGGTCCCCTGAACGCCTGATTCCTTAAAGTTGTGCGCAGGGAAAGCACCTGCAATTCTTGGTAGGGTGCGGCGCCCCAACCTGATACCTGGACATGACAAGCGATTGGGCCCTTATGAACGTCTTTTGTAAGAGTGACGAGTCGCACAGCCGCAAAGCAGGCGAATGCACATACGACACACATACACAGAGAGGCAGACCCACACATAAACAGAGAGCGCGTGCACAAATGATGATGCAACAGCATGAGCCCTAGAAGCTGCAACGTCCTGCACAGACTTGTCACTGCTTGAGCTTCGTCTGGATGAACTCTCAATACTTTCAAGATGTCTTCCGAGGCATAGCCCCTCCTCTTAGGTTCCTGTCTTGAAATCAGCTTCAGACCTCATCCAAGGGTCTCTATGCTGAGTGGACGTTGGTCGGGCCAATGCTGTTGACAGGGCTTCGGGCTCTCAGGGGGTTTCGAATTAGGGTTGAGGGCCCTGACACTAAGCCTTCACACAAAGGATCTCAGGCATCCTGTTTCGGATCCTGGCTCTGATACGACAGTCTGACAGAGTCTTCAAGTCTTCAAGTCATCCGAGCGTACGATAGCGTATACTGTAGTATGGCTTCAAAACCAGCTCTCCAGGGTTCTCTGGTGTGTGTGTGTGTGTGTGTGTGTGTGTGTGCAACAGGGCTTCTCAACTCAAACACTTCTCCCACCACCCCTGGCACCAGGAAACTGAGTGCGTGATACCTCCGAGGGAACCGTTCATTTCGGGAAGCCTCCACATGTCGCACTCCTCCTGGTTAGTGGAGGCAGCGCAAGCCTGTCGGCAACAGCATGAATACGAATCTACATACAAACAATCTATATAACAAACACAGGAACATACCCGTGTACGCATGGTCTGATAAATGTGTCTGTGTATAGTAATTATATATATATATATATATATGCACATGTATATGTGTATAAATGCGTATGTGTATGTGTGTACCTGGTACATGTGTATATGAGTGCATGTGCATGTGTATGTATATGTGCGTACATATGTACATGTGTGTGTGTGTATGTATGTATGTATGTATGTATGTATGTTGTACTCATGTACATAGATATGTATGAGTGCATATACACGTGCATGTATGTGCGTGTGTGCTGTTCAAAGACTGGCGCGTTCCTTGGATTAGCATATGGTTTTTGCGTATGTTTAAATGCCACTGTAAATGTTATAGCTGAATAGATAGAAAATGGAACATCTTGACATATACATGTATGTGTTTGTGAAAAAAACAAACAGGACCATGAATAACCGAAGGCTCTTTATGGACACAAAAGGGCAGCCAACCAGTCTGTTCAATGGATCCTGTGCGCAGCCGCTGACCGAACCCAAACTGAGGATCCTCAGCCTACACCCCGCTAATCCCGCCCACGAACACAAAGTTCTGCCTGGAGTAATCCACGAACCTGCTCAACAACAAAACTGAAAACAACTGGGCAGTCTTCCCTTTTTGAAGCAGTGGACTTGCTAGGCCAGCACACATGACGATGGCACGTGTATGAAACAAAAGTATTCTGTTTCACTGAAAGATGAATTCGACAGCACGCGTGGAAAAAAGCATGAGGTACGACCTCAAACGTCGACTGAAGCTGACCATCTGCCCCCCCCCGTTATTGTAATTAATTAATACCTTAGCCGGTTACTCCAGTATACGACCTATAGACTCTAAACAGTATAAAAAGCCCGGTGCACCCGCGCAAAGACGTGTCCGGGAGGTTTAGCTTCGTATTGCTCGCACTTGATGGAGCGCCACGACCAGATGCACGCCTCGCAATAGTGGCTTCTTAGGGTTTCAGCACTCGCACTGGGACTTTAGACTTTATAGGGTTGAGGGTTTAGAGTTTGGGATTTCGGGTTTAGGGATCCACAAAACTGCCGGTTTTCAGCATATCGCAAACACACACACACACACACACAGACACACTGCCTGAACAGCCTTACAGGCAAGACCGTTGGGAACCATCACCATGTAACTTGATTGATGCCAACCTTCGGTGTGCGGTTAGATAATTACGAAGCCGTGAAGTTTAAGAGGAAAACGGGTTCCGACGATGGAGCTTGGGATGAGCTTTTAGGTATGTACATTCGGATGTACCTGGGTACTAGGCTTTCAAGTTCTACGCTTCAGGGCCGAGAGTTTGAGGTAGGCGTCTGGGCCTTTGGACATAGAAGTTTTGGGAAGGTTCTCGATCAGTACATTTCACGCCCTCCTCTTGAAACTTCTTCAGCGCTGCATCGCATCTGGGTTCTCTGACATGTTTGCGGAACTCCGGAGGTCCTTTGCTGAAGCTTTAAAACTTGTGAGAGCGCAAGGTTGCAAGGGATGCTGGGTCCGGGTTGCCGGAATGTCGAAACCTAGAATGACCCTCAACGCCGCCTGAGAAGTCTTGATAGATAAGTTCCTGTTCGACCCGATAAGGGGAAATCTAAGATATGCCAGTGGCGCTGAAACCCAACCAACTCCAGGAGTCGGAGTACTTCATAATAGTGCTCCCTGAAACTGCCTGTGCTAATCTAATTGAACCATAACATACTCCGAAGCCCAAGTCTTACAATGATACTTGGACCCCTTGGGTAAGTGGATCTCAAAGCACGCACTTCACAAGGGCCGAGAGACTTCTGGTGTGTCGGGACTCTTGCCTGCGCCCAGGTCATCTGTACACAACCGAGGCTTTGGGGGTTCGGGTTTTATTCCCTTCTTGCATGGCTGGGATCAGTGCCCACTGTGGGGTTGCGGGTTTAGGGCGCCGAGCTCAGAGTTCAGAGGCTACGAGCTAAGAGTCACTGCTCCCAGCCAAGTGTATTCTTTGAAAGGGGTCGAGGATTAGTATAATTATTGCACTGGAAGGCAGGTAACAGGTTGGTAATATAGCTGGCCGCTCGCAGTCATGCTCAGAGAGTGTCAGGAAAGCTGCTAAATGCTCCGTGCGTGTTGACGGCAAATCTCCACATCTGCGGACCATCTGCACAGCCCACCTAACGTGTCCCCACTACGATCCTAGATCCACCTCCACCTCGTCAGAAAACACAAACCCTACACCCGAAACTCTTTCGAAACTCTGGGTTTTCGGGCGTACCACGTTCGCTTTTTCTGTCGTGAGTTTCACAGCTCTATGATGGCCTGCCTGACTTCCATTGATCCTGCAGATAAGAACTTCGAGAAACTTGAGCCAGCACCCCTCACAACAATCGCAGATGCCCGCTCGAAAGATGCAGCAAGCAGGGCTCGTAACATTCGTCGAAAACCAAATGGAGACGGTCCCAGACCACGGGATGACAAAAATGTGAGGCCCCCAAAAAATTTCTAGGTAAGGCCCATTATACTATAATGATAATAAGGAACCGACAAAATAGTATGTGACTCCATCGCTTTTGTGTTCGGTTGTTCGCACACACACACACACACACACACCTACCTAGGACCGAGACTTGTCCTGTGTATTCTTCGTTTTGTAATGTTTGCTATTAATCCGTTGACGGATGTATGTGTGTGTGTGTCCTGTGCAATAAAAACCGAGCGCAGCTGCGCATACAAACATATATATATATATATATATATATATATAATGGCATAATGTAAACACAAGCATGCCGTCGGCCTACATGGCACGCATACAAAGAATGCTGGACACATGTGCACACGCATGCCTGAACCCTGTATCTGACTCTTCCTATGCTAGAAGCCACGTCTTTCCGAAGTGTACCAGCGAGTGGCACTTGTCCGAGGCATTGAAACGGGGACAAGACGGAAAGATCGTGCCGACACCCACCTTGGTCTTTCGGAGTCGCAGATGTAGGCTTGAGAGCTTGGGGGGTTGACGTGTACAGTAGGGTTGTACTTCAGCTTCCCGTTCTCGAGTTACGCTTCAGACCTCTATATTACCAGCTGAGCTCGCCGCTGTGGACTCGGTAGCTTG